CAGGGAAGCCTTTTAAATAAGGCTGCCCTGTATCTCCTTCCACTTTATCCTCCTTTCATTTTCTTCTTTTTCTTTATTTGCAAAAAGCAAAAACACATTCAAGTTTGATCAAAGTGAGTAAAAGCAAAGCTTAGCATAAACGTGTAGAGCCCTCAGGGAATCCAAGGTCAGAGACCAAACTACATCCAGTCTTTAAATGAACAAGAGATACCACTGAAGCTGAGATCCAGCACTGCTTTGTCTCAGCAGACTGCATAGTCTCCCTGTCTCTTCTTCTTTATGGGTTTCTTGCTTTTCTCTTTCTTGGCCATTTTGCCTTTTTCCTTCTTTCAGACATGGTCCAACATGGCAGCCAGCAGAATATTCAGATCCTGCACCACCAACTACCAATATCCATGTCTCAACTCACATATCCAGAGGAACTAATCTGGTTGTCTTAGTGTTTCCCTGTTTGGGAATCAGCAAATCCTGGGTCACTGTGTAGATAGGCTACTGGACAGGGCAAGCAATAGTAGGCACATCTAGGACAGCAGATCAGGAGTTATGATCTTTGTGTGAGAAGCAAGGAAACTAAACCTCACCAGGTTAAGCCACCTGCTGAGGCTCACCAGGCATTTATGAGCCAAATCACGTTTACATTCTCCCCCAGTGAGCGCCTCTCCCAGGTGCTAGAAATTCTGAATTCTCTTAAGCAAGAGATTATTATTATACATATACATACAATTCATACAATTATATATTTTTATATTGGTTATGTTTCATTTTAGCCATTAACATTAACATTGTCCTCCCCTAAGAATGGACAAGAATACAAACCTATTCAAAGGAGAAAATCCATTGGTTTAAAATGAGAGCATAAATTATTTCTCTTTGATAGTTAATACAACTAAAGCTATCATTTGTGCCCTATTAGCTCATCTACTGACTATTAATATCACTTAATCAGAAAGAGGGTGGAAGAGAGTAACAATGGCTAATACACGTTTGAGATTTTAATTCAGAAGCAGAATGCTACATTTTTTTTACATACTAAATGTACAATAATTAATTTCATTCCTGCTGGTATAACTTTATGTGGTAGCCTCATGTTTGGTCTAAGAGTCTGGCTCTGTCAGGAACAGGATCCATGGGATGGGATGGGATAGATGATTGGTTTTGAATCTGGGTGGAGGAAATGATTCAAATCCCCTCCACACTATCCCCACCACCACTAGAAATTAGGTGGTCTTGAAGAAACATTGTCCTATATTTTATAAAATGGCTGGTTGTCACAACATCGTTCAGGTTGAAATGTGCAATTTGCCAAGAGGCAAGGGAAGCAACACCTGGACTTGTGTGCTGCTTGATTATTTTTTTTTTCAGTAGATACCTCAGTGTGGTCCACCATATCATGACCTGATAGCAGGAACCACCACCATAACAAGCCACAAACCCAGTCTTGCACACACAGGTCATTTCTCTTTCTAATCCTGCAATGAAGAAACTATACCTGCAAACTTGTGCAGTTGAACAAATGCTCAAACTCATTCTGGACCAATCCCACCCCCTACCCCGAGCAAAATGCAGTCTGTTTTTCAATATATTTATTATTATTATTATTTGTATGCCACAGAATTCATGCATTTAAGGTATACAATTCTGTAGCTTTTAGTATATTCAGAATTATGCAACCGTCACCACAATTTTAGTACATTTTCATGAACCAAAAAGAAACCCTATAGTCCTTAGGTGTATTCACCCAGCTCCTCTAACCTTACACAAACAATAGTCAGATTCACTTTTGGTCTCTAAGTTTTTGCCCATTTTGGATATTTCATATAAATGAAATCATCCATGGTCTTTTATAACTGTTTTCTTTCACATAGCATAATGTTCTCAAGAATCACCCATGTTAAGGCATGAATCAGAACTTTTTAAGACTGAATAATATTATACCGTATGATCACATGACATTCACCAGCTAAGAGACATTTGGCTCAATTCCACTTTTGGACTATTACAGATAAGATTGCTATGAACATTCATACACAAGATTTTATATGAACATGTGTTTCCAATTGTTTTGAATATAAACCCAGGAGGGGATTTCACAGAATAATTTGTTGGTTTTTCAGATGGAAGAGATAGTTTAGTCCAGCACCATTTTATATATATATATATATATATATATATATATATATATGATGAGATTCAAAACATTTGTATATAAGATCCGAAGATTTGTGGGGAGGCAGAGATGAGAGACAGGGAACAGCTATCATGCCAAGTTGGCTCTTCTGGGGAAGGGAAGGGAAGATACCATTAGAATGCCAGCTGGAAGTCATGATCTGTAGTTCTCCCCCTTTGGTGGCCCTTCAAGAACCTTAAGTACAATGTATACCACTTCTTCATGACATTGGTTCAGAGTGGGGTGGGGGTTTAGATGTATCACAATGTTCGTAATGACCTGAAGCAGGCTGACCATAGCATCTGCAGTCCTCTTTCCTCCTTCTGTCCCCCAGCAGCCCCTGCCCAACAGCAGCACCCCCACCCCATACAACATACCCTCCACTAGGGAGCTCCCACCCCTGATCTTAGAGAAGGAAAGGAAGAGAAGAGTAGGAAATGGAGAAGTCAGTGAGGCAGCAAGACTTACACCGGGAAGAACAGGAGAGAGGAAAAGGATAGATAAGAAAAGGAGGAAGGAGAACGAAGACCCTTTGTGAGCTGAGTTCCAGGCAGGCCACTCTGAATTGGCGACCTCCTCAAGACTGACATGTGTGAGCTTCATTTTGGATAAAGATGAATCCTCTTAGCCTCATCTGTTTCCCTACCTCCTTCTTTTCCCCTTTTTATCCCTTTCACTCAAAAATAATTACAAATCACTAAAACAATATTTCAAAACTGCAATGCTTCTTTAATTGTGATTCATTGGATCCAACTTATCTGCCTTGTTTTTCAGAGCAAACATCCCTGCTCACTGACTTTATCATTCAGATAGGAGGAAACTCTTATATGACCTTGTATTTTGCTTCGACTGGCTTGGCTTGGGCCTAATTTTATTTAATTTTTTTTTCCCGTGGGGGTTCATTTTATTTTGTTTTGCTTTATATTTTTGCTTTCGAAACTATTTCCACTCAGGGGTATTCACCAGCTCAGCCTTCTCAACATTTCTGTTCTTGAGATTTAGCTGGAGACTTCACAAACTTTAACATCATTACTGCATGTCATCACCACCATTGTCTCTTGTCACAATCTTGATTCTGTGTTCTGATAATAAAACTTCATTAGTGTCTGCACCTCCTTTCCCTTACCTTCCAAAGAAACACTGTCTTCTGCTGAAGCAGTTAGCGGTGCTCAGTGTGAATGCACTTGGCTGTTTGACAGGCATTGCCAGTGAGCTGAGCTGTGAGAAGAAGAAAATTTTTGAGGATTTTATTATCATCAAAAGGAGCTATCTACTCGCACAAATATTGCAGGTTATTTTGCCATGTAAACCGACTTCATTTCATTAGTGGTTTGCATAGGTAATAATTGGAAACAACTACCCAGCCTCATTAGAATAAATTACCAATTCGTTTACTGAAAGAAAAATGCCACTTCTCCAGGCTGTGTTTTTAACTGTTTGCCCTGGTAGGAGATGAAAACAAAAACCTATGAATATTTCAGAACAGGATGTTCAAATACTCTTATTGTCTAACATAAATCAGACAATGTGCTATTGTACTGAGGCCCTGATGGAGAGATGCCTAACCAGAGGGGAGAGTAAAACGCCAATGATATCATATCAACATGGATCTAAGAAAAAAGAATAGACGCAACTGTGGTTAAATTCTCTTGAATTTCAGTTCTAGGAATTGACTCCAATTTAAAAAAATCAGAATCTGTGAAAATGTTTACCTACAGGGATGTTCATCTTTATGCTATTTATAATGGGGAAAAAAAAGACAATGAAAAAAGTATGTACCCAAACCTAGGGGATTGGACAATATATCAGAAAGTAGCCATATGATGGTCTGAAGCAAAACATGATTAAAACACCACAGTGTGAATGAACTTTTAATGCCATGTGACAACGTTCTTTCTATAAAAAGTGATGAAGGCAACTATTGAGTCTATACACTATGGTATCATTATGAAAAGATAAACATCTACATTTGCTTTGAAAAAGATGAAAGGAAATAGATCAAACTGGTAACTCGGTCGTGGGATGATTGGTGATTTCATTCTCATGCTTTTATAATGAGAATAATTCAGTATTATTCAATATTATTCAACGATCACCAACAGCGTTGCTGAAGGCATGACATTTTTATTGGCCAGGTCAGTTCCTCTCTTCTTTTAGTGAGATAGAGAATATCCCTGGGATATTCAGTGCGTAATGTTTGTATCATGAGTGCTGGCAAGAGGAGATGCCAAGCAAGTTGGTCTAATATACACAGGAAAGTTTTGGATTTTTTTTTTTTCCTCTTCCTGGATTGGACATCTTCCCACCTATGACCTTTGATGTTAATACCAGTAAAATGTTTTCATCAAATTTTAAAAAAAAATTATAAAATCCTCAGAAGATAGTTTTTTTTTTTTTTTGTAGATGGACACAATACCTTTATTTATCTTTATGTGGTTCTGAGGATCAAACCCAGGGCCTTATACATGCTAGGCAAGCACTCTACCACTGAGCCACAACTCCAGCCCCAGATATATATATACACACACACTATTTATAATGGGAAAAAAAAGACAATGAAAAAAGTACCCAAACCTAGGGGATTGGACAATATATCAGAATATATATATGAATTAGCAAGGATTAGTTTAATTTGTATGTCACAACCCTCCTCTCCCTCCCTAATCTCCACCCTCCCCAGAAAGGAGGGTCTTAAATAAAATGGTAGTTTTCCTCCTGTTAGGAAGTCCAGGCTTGATAAGAGCTAGGGATTCCAGCAAACAGCCTTGTTGTTCTTCTGCCCTCAGCACATCAACTACTCCTCATAGTCCAAGTTCCAACCACCACAGACATTCCAGCCAGCAGGAAGTTGGAAAGAAAATGGGACCAAACCCCAAGATCCTGGGCAACACTTCTGCCGTAGCCCATTAGCCAGAACAAGGTCACATGACCACTGCAGGAGAATGTTATGGCACCCTGGGAAATGTAGTCATTTCATGGCTCAGCTAAAAGTCAGCAGGTGGACTCTTAAGGAAAAAGGACTAAAGGACACTGGAGTGCAAACAATAGTCTCTGCCACAAAGTTCATCCCAGTGGATATCACAGGGAGACACAAGGCGGAGTTGACAAACCAACTGTAACTATGTCAACATTTTTTGTATCCATCCCATCCAGAAAGCATTGCCTGGCGCTTGCATTTATTTGAAAACAATCTACAGAATTGTAAGATATGGTCTCTCAGGAAAAAAAAAAAAAAAAAAAACCAACACAGCTGCAGCAAATAAAGCAGATGGGAATTAAGAATGCTGGAGAAGCTCCAAAATCCACTCCCATTGTCCACTAAGTGCCTACCCTACAAAGACTGTGAGCTCCAAAATAGAAACTTTATGAAACTTTGAAGCATTTGATTAATGTAAACCTTCATGAATAATGCAAGGCTGTGCACCAGAGTTTGATGTGAAGCAGAGAAAGAAAGATTAGTATGTTCATCTTGGCTTTAAAAAAAAATTAAGAAAAATTCACAGATGGAACACAGGCATTTTTGGGGCAAGATATGTGACTATTAAAACGTCTGCTACTAATATGCTCATAAGGGTGGGGGACCTCAGAGTAAGCCCAAAAGGCTTGCCAGGGAGATAGATACCCACCCCTAGAAGGTGGATATGGTTTGCCCCAGTTTCAGCTTTTTTGCAGTTGAGCAGGACACCTGGGGGCCAATCATGCATAGGTGACTGCAAGGAGGTCCCAAAGGCTCCTCTTTCCCCAGTAAACATCTTCCCCTTCTACAGGTTTCTGGTATAAGATCTTCCTTTATCAGATCATCTTTCTTTTGTATTAATGAATCATCTTCTATTGAAATGCAAAGCTCTCTGGGAAGGGTTGTATAGGCAGATCTTCCAAAAGACAACCCCTTCTATTCTGCCTCTAAAGTGGGTTTTACAAATTCTATTATGAAATACTTCAGATTTAAAATGGTATAAAGAATTTCCATGATACAAAATTTAAAAGCCGAGGCTGCTTAGAACTTCTTCCAAATCATCACCCCTTCCCTTCCCTTCTGCACCCCAGAAGCTATTGCCATCTTGAATATAATGTGTATCATTCCCCAAACTTGGGAGGTTGCATGCATTTATCACCCATCTCTCCCCAATGCGTCCTGGCCTCCTATAGTTTCAGGCCATTGTTGTTTTTCACCAGAACCACTCATTTAGTATACATTGAGCACCTACTTGGGGCCAGGCACCAAGACAAGAATATCCTAACCAGTGTCCTTGCTTCTAGTGTCTCCCTCCAACCAATTCATCTCCCACATTATAGTCACAAAGTTATATCCCTTCTCAAGAGCTTTAAAAGGCTTCCTGTTGCCTAAATGATGATGTTCAAGGTCTTTTTAATGCCATGTGAACACAATGCTAGTGTCCCTCCCAGAACCTTAAAAGGGTTGGGACAAGGATTAAGGTGAGATTAAGGTTACTACAGCTTCACAGCTAATGGGCCTCTGTACATGCAATTGTATAGCTGTAACAACAGGTTCCTGTGATGGATCTTCTCATTTTAGTAGAAGGAATTTAACAGACTTGGACCTATTCACATCCCAGCTCTGCTTCTCTGCAAACCTTGGGTAAGTAGCTTAGTTGCTTCACCTTTTCGAGTTCCTATATCCTATTGGAGATAAGATCATATATGAAAGAGAGTAGCTTATCTAATCACCAAAATCCCTTTTGTCCTTCTTCTATAGTTCTTGAATTACAACTGGAACAGCACTGCCCACTTAGGGACCTCAGTTCTCAACTTCCTGTCTAGTCTGGGATTTGAGTTTACCCTACTTATAAATTAATATGTTAGATTGTTACAATTTCATTGATGCTGAGAGAAGACAAAAGTCTCCTGGTTCAGAGACAACGAATGTTAGCACTCATGACACAAGAACAGCATGAGGGTAGGCATATTTGCCCCAGTTCCTCTTGGCCTCAGGTTTCATGGGGAAGGATGTGATGGCCAGACAAATTATGTACAAGAGGTGAGTTTGCTTTGCAACTGAGGAATACCAACCTTGGGGAAGCCATCACTTTTATAGCAAGCAATAACAAATGTTTTTGTTGTCTGTGTTGGTGTATGTGCATGTGGTGGGGGAGAGGAGTGGGGAGGTATTATTTCATTGCCTGAGGTAACTGTCTGCAGAAACACCCTAGGAAACGGCCTGGGTCAAAGAGTGGGGAGGGCCTTGAAATCTCAGCATACCCAGCAAGACATATCAGGATGCGTGAGGCCCACAGAGTACTCTATCCCAATAGCTCTTTTGAGAGTAGATGTGACCTTGTGACTTAGACTTTTGTGATAGAAACAAAGGGGTGGAGGTGGACATGCCTTCTGGAGTGACACCGTAAGACCAGGCCCTGCTTTATCAAGTCCCTCTTTCTCCTCTGGCTAGTTGGATGGTTGGAATAGAAATAAGAATAGGAATTCTAGGAATTTGGGAAGCCAAATACTGAAGAAGCTGCCATCAGTCTGAGTCCCAGAATGACTGTGCAGAAAAAGCTGCCCATTAACTGAGAACAGTCATTTCACATTGTCACATGAGAGGGGAAGAAGCTTTTTATTGTGCAGGCAAGCTAAAGGGTTCATTTATTACTGTGACCCTGTCTACCCTTTACTGATGGAGTGTCTAACTCCCAAGGCCAAGAGGGTTAGATGAAATCCCGATGGCTAACATTTATGCAAAGCTTACCACACCATGGGCCTCTGTACATGCAATTGTATAGCTGTAACAACAGGTTCCTGTGATGGGTCTTCTCATTTTAGTAGAAGGAATTTAACAGACCTGGACCTATTCAAATATTCAGGTCCTTGCTAAACACTTGTATACACCATTTCATTAAATAAGCCCAACAATCTTCATTATTTTCTCTTATAATTGGACATCAAAGTTATTTTTAAATATTCTTAAAGTTCAAGAAATAGAAAAGTGTCAGAAATGGACCAAAACCAGGACTCACTCACACCAAGCCCAAGGTATGTGCTTCCCAGGGTTTCAGTTTGGGGTTCTCTCTCTTTTTCTTCTCTCCCACTCCAGTTACCCTTAATTCCTCATCTCTTCTTTCTCTCCCTTCCTTACTGTTGAATTCCACTTTCATGTAAGATAGCATACCGTAATGCCAAAAAAAAAAAAAAATACTGCAGTCAGGAGATTGGAGCTTTGGTTTCAGCTTCGGCAGGTTGCAGCTGTGCAACCTTGATAAATCATTTTCTCTTTCTGAGCTTCACTTCTCTTTTCCAAATAATAGATATGTCAATAATAATTGCCTTATCTATCTTACATGATGACCATGAGGCTCAATTAAAATAAAGTGCATTAAAGGTCTTTCCAAATTGTAAAACATTCTAGAAATGGCAGATGTTATTCTCTACCTCCACCCCATATGCCAACCATTCACACAGTCCCTGGACAGCAGCATCAGCAGCACTGCAAACTTGTTAGAAATGCAAATTCTTAGGGCCAACCAAGACCTGCTGTATTAGAAAATCTGGGGATAAGGTCCAGAAAGCTGTGTCTACGAAGCCTTGCAGGTCATTCTGATGTACTCTCAAGCTTGAGAACTACCAGTACATATGCTTGCACACATATGCATGCACGCGCTTGTGCACACACACACACACACACATATACACACACACATTGATATTCAGGTGAAATCAAGTTTAAAATACTAAATAAAATGAAGACTTGTGCTATGGCTTGAATGTGTACCCCATTTTTCATGCATTGGTCCCCAATGAAGCAGTGTTGCAAAATAGGATCTTTTATGGTCTCCCAACAGGACCAATCCCTTTTGGGGGTAACTCTTCCTCTGGGAATATCATCTGCCTAATAACTTCCGAGTTCAAATAGGAGCCTCCATGAGCATTCTAAACTTCTGGGAATCTAAGTACTGACATACCTTAGAACCCTAGGCAGAGAATCCAATTTTGCATCTTCATCTCCATTCCCAAGTCACTTCCAGGAAGAAGTCTTTTTTTTTTTTTTTTAATCATTTTCGAATGTTACAGAAAGAGGGAAATGGTACTTGGGTGAGAAGTCAGTTGAAGAAAACAATCTACTCTGGAAAATGGAATCCAGGCAGTTTAAACAGTCTATGGTTTTCAGAAGATAGACCCCCAACCCCCTGCAAGGCTCCGATTCCTAGAGTTTTATACCCTTTTCTGTAGGAGCTGGCAAACTCTGTCAGAGCCAGTGCATACCACATCCCTCCTCTTTTGAGAGGAAAATATAGGCAAGGTGGGGAGATGCGGCTGGGGAACCTGGGCTGGTCAAGTGGACACGGCTACTCAGCTCTAGTCTATGGTTACTGAGGGGAAATGCAAATCCATGTTTCTAGATCCTCCAGTTTGTTACGAGAGGCTGGAAGTACTGCTTTGCTTTATAGACAATCACAGTACAGTTGGTGACCTTGGGAAAGTTTATTTGCTTTTTCCAAGTTTGATATACTCAGCTGTTGAGTGAAAGGAAGGAAGGGGAAACACTAGACCTCATGAGAGTTTGGTGATGCTTCCACAAGATCATTCAGGTAAGGTTCTTCTTGTGAGGTGGCAGGTGATACAAAGCAACTGATCAGTCATTGACAGACTTGTTCTTTCTTAGACATTGGAGGAGATGCTAGAGGAGGGTCACATCTTCCTCGTTTTTCCCCATTCTGAGAGCAGAATGTTCTGTCTTCTACAGCAGGGACATCAGACCTACCTGGAAGACAGCTCCAGGGCTCAGTGGGGAGTCTCTAGAGCTTCTTCTATAAGGGACCATGAGGACAGAGGCTCTGCAAAAATTGCCCCCAAACAACTTCTGCGGCAGACCCTTTTCTACAAGAGAGAAATAAAGAAATAAAAGAAAAAGAAGAGAATAAAACAGGAGGGAAGAAAATAAGAAAGAAAGGAGAGATACAGAATGGAAGAAGGGAAAGGAAAGGGAGGGGAAATGAGAATGAAAATTCAAAGCCCATCAACATTGTGGTCATTTACTATATAACCAGAGATCCTAGAATTGCGGCAAAGGGATCTAAAAACTGCTAAGCAAAAGTCATGCTGCCTATAATAATTAATGACTTATATAGAAATTTAAGACACATTATTAGGTTTTAAAAAACAATCTTTACAATAATACGTACAGCCAACTAGAAAAAAGACTGGAAGGAAAGCAATACAAACAATGGTTATCTCTGGGTGACAGGATTGTGGATGGTTTTTATGGTTTGTTTTGCTTACATGAAATTCTTAAATTGTCTTCAATAAACCTGCATGACTTTCCTTGCAAAACAAAATGAGAATTATTAAAAAGAGTCATTATGATCTTGAAGCTCTAACAGGAGTCACGGTCCAGAAGAGTTTCAGATGCCTTTTTCAGTCTTCCAGCAGGTGGCGCTAAGACGATGCTGGCCTCCCTGGCAGTACCTCACTGGCAATTAACAGAATCTCTGGATGCTTTCCTGCCCAGAGCTCCCGTTCCCTGCTGGGGAGGGGGCAGATGGAAGGAACCATCCAAACTCAGAGGCTGTCCCACTCTTCATTGGCCCTATGGCTCAGCTCTCCCCCAGCAGGAGAAACAGCAATGTTAGGAAAATGCAAAAATACAGGCAGAAGAGGGGCCTTTTCTCTGCCTCCCTCACTCCCATCTCTTTCCCACTCAGACCCCCATAATTTGGCCTGAGGCTAAGTTCAAATTACCCTCGTTAGTGGGAATATCTGGACTGGATTGGATTGGATTGGATTTGCAGTTAAGCCACTCTGTAAGGGTAAATGAGTTTTTTAACTCACACATGAAGAAAAAACAACCTTATCCACAGTACTCACTGGTCAGGGGATATTAATGAAGAACAGACCTTGGGCACAAAGACAATGGACGTTTTGGTCAACTGACAGTAGCAGGCAGGGAGCCTGACAGCCAGGCTCCCAGTCTCTGAGGGAGGGAGGGAAAGAACAGAGCTCCCTGGCTGCACTCCCTGGACAGCCGGGCATAACTGGGGAACTGGCCCACTTTATCATTTCAACTTTTGTTTGAAGTCTTCAATTGTTCTGCCCCTAAGGAAACTACTCCAAAGGGAATTAAGGGAAGGGAGAAAAGGCATCAGAGTCCATCAAAATGGTCCACATTCTGTCCAGACCCATAAACACTGGGGAATAGAGAATGTTCCGGGCCCTGGGTGCCATTTCTCATAGTTCTTCAGTGTCTCCAATGCCCTTCTCCATATTGATGGAGGGGACAAGGGGAAGGAAGGGAGGAAGGAGGGAGAAAGGATGAGAGGGAGGGAGGGGGAGGCAAAGGAGGAAAGAAGGAAGGAAGGTGAGGAAGACAGGCAGGAAGGAAAGGCCCATCCAAGCTCATTCTGGAGGAGAAAAGCTAGGAGGACATCCCTGTCTCGTGACAACAATTTCTTCTTCCTTATTCTTGTCCCACTTCATCCCATGATGAACCAGGCACTTGAACAGGATGGACTTGCATGTGGCTCTCAGGTGGGTTCTGGCTAAAGTGAAGCAAAACCCTGACATACAGTAGCTGTCAATCCCACACAATCCAGGTGACTAAAAGGAACCACTTAAAATGACAAGGAGCAGGAACCTGGCAGTAACCATGAGTGTCTCTCCCTTCACCCAGCAGATGTCCCTTCCCACCCCCAACTACACACACACACACACACACTCTGGGGGCACTATAATAGTGGGGAACACAACAACAACAACAGCAGTGATGACAGTGACAACACAAGGGCTCTCACAGGTAACACTATACATCAAACAGCTTAGCTTAAAGGCAAAGATCTTTGGAGTCACGGGGCCTGGATTTGAACCCCTGCCCTGCCGCCCCTGGGTGTGATGGCTTGACTGAATTGCCCAACCTCTCTGAATCTTAGCCTCCACATCTGTCACAGGACAGTGACAAGACCCACAAGCCACAGTGTTACAAGGCAGATTCCACAGGATGCTGCACGGAGAACTCTTAGCCTGGCGTGTGGTCCTCAGTGAGGGTGGCTGTTCCGGTTTTCTGAACACGTAAGCGGGGAGGTGCAGTGTGGGCGAGGCAGGCCAGACTTAGATGATTGAAGGGCAATTTTATCAAGAGCAGGCATCTCTCTCCCCTGCACTCTTCCCGCTTTTTTTTTTTTTTTTTTTAACCTGCTATTGGCGATAGAACCCTGGGCTTCGAGCACGCTGGGCAGGCATTCTACCACCAAGCTACACCCCCAACCCTATTTTATTTTGCAACGTGGTCTCACTAACTTGCCCAGCTATCTTCAAACTTGTGACCCTTTTGCTTCAGCTTCCCAAGAAGCTGGGATCCCAGGTGGGCACCATCACACCTGGCTCTTAGTATGTTTTTTGAAGAGGTTCTCTGGGTGATTAGTTAGCTGGAAGGGTTGGATGATCTTCAAACTAGTTAACCAGCATGGTGGGAGTACCAGCCAATCAGAAAGAAGACTTTCTTTCCTAGTGTGGACAGGCTCCCTGTGACTCCTGGGGGTACCAGGCTTCTTCTATCATGGTGTCGGAAAATCCAGAGGACCCAAGGAAGAGGCCTGGTAGCAGGGACACAGAGGGCCATTCATCAGTGGCTATTGACCAACTGCTACTGAAGTATTTAATAACATGGTGCACCCCAGCTGGTGGACCTTGGTTACATATCATCTTTAGGTCAAGTCTTGGGGTTCAATCCTACCCCCCTCAGAGCATCCCTCGGTCTACCAGGCAGACTGGATAGCCATTTCTAAATATGCCTTCCTTGGCAAAGAGATCAGTGGATAATGTGGGACTGGGTTCAGTAGAAATTCCTTCTATTTCTGGAAGAACAACTCAATGTGGCTCACAAGAACAACTCACAAAGGCACTTGGTTGTTCCTGTTCATGTAGCTGGTGGAGACCCATATTCAGGAGCCTCTCCACCTGCTGGCTGCTGACAGTCGGGGAGAAAGTTTATTCCCAGAGAGAAAGAAAGGCGAGCACAGCAGCCCACAGGAGTGTTTTGGGGTGAGCTTGGTGAGGCAGAGGGGCTTGTGAGAGCTCTTGGTGTGGGGAGCATGTCAGGCTCGTGGTGCACACCCCAGAACAGAGGGTGCCAAATCAATTTCCAGGGTAACCAAGTGTGACCATGGAACTCTGGCTTTCAGTGGAAGGGAGTGACCATGAATCTGTGGACCAGGTTGCCAGGGGAGAGGGTGATGAGGGGAAGGAATGAGGACACGGAGATTTTTGAAGCCACTCTTCATGGTCTTAAGCATGGGCTTATAGAAAGAGAGGAGCCACCAACAATGGTTTGTTTACCTATTCTTCAGTGACCCTAAAAGAAGAGGGCAGATGTCCTTTGGAACTGCTGAGAATGGGGACAGAGATGTGGGAAAATCATTCTTCCACTGCCAAGGGACCTGGCCAGGTGGCCTCAAAGCCAGCAGCAGGATGCAGCCCCAACAGCTGAAGGTGGTATGTATGAGCAGCAACAGCCATGGGGGACGCACAGTAGGCTAAGAGTCCTTGTTCAGTTTCCAAGACTTTCCCCAGGATGTTCTAAAAAAGGCTGTGGGTGCGTTGGAGAAAACTAGAGGGCCTGTTGGAGGTGGAGAAGCCAAACAGAGGAACACTGACCACTTGGTGACAATGACACCCTTCTCAGGAGAGCAACCTGCAGTTCACAAAGCACTTAATCATCCCAGCAAAGATTATCATTCTTATTTTCTTGATAAGAAAATTAAGAGCCAGAGAGGTTGAGGGACCTATCCACGGTCAATCATGGTGGTGGTGTCTGGACACACAAGGAAAACCATTCCAGGTTTTCCAATTCTCTGCTCAGTGCTGTTAATCAGAATGGAGGCAGGCGAGGTGGGAGGGGTACAAAACAGAAGGAGACAGTGACTCTAGTGCAAGTCCCTTCCCCACATGCAAGCCTTGCTCTCCCCTGAGAAGTACATTGCTTTGCACACTGTGAATCTCTGGCCCTGCTTGCCAGTGGAACCAGCCTGGGGCCTCGCCATGGGCTACATCCTTCCTGAGAAGCTGCTAGAATCTCAATCTGTTCTAGCAGTTAGGAGAGGGGGAGTGAAGGCAAGTGTTGCCACCAGATATGCCGGGCACCACAAACAAACAACAGAAAAGATTCATGTGTTCAGTGGAGCTGAATTTTAATTGATACTTTCTCAAACAGTGGTTCTGAACCAACATCCTCAGCCCCCAAAGATGATGAAGGGGGGGGTGCCGTTTAACGCCACAATTAGCAGACAACCCCACAACAAATACAGTAAACATTAATCATATTAAATATTGAACGCAGACTTTGGTACGCTTGAAGAGCAATGGGTTTTTAAATTTTTATTTTACAGAAGACAAAGCAACCCATTGCTTAGGAATTATTCCGATGTCAGCGCCGAAGGGAAATAATGTAACATTCTGGAATTTATATAAAAATTACAGCTTTGTTGTGTTTCACACTATATATAGTAATTTAATCATTTGCAGCTGATTAATTTCAGTGAAGGAAAATGTAGCATTATGCATTCCTAATGGAGCTCCAAGGTTTGAATTCTAATTGTGAGCTGGGCACAGTTTAAGTCTAAATTAGCAATTAGCTTGGGCAAGGGACATTGAGATTGAACTGGAGTTGTCTGGTGACAAGTACCAAGTCAATAAGAGGGCAGCTATAAAGATCATCAGAAAAATGCTGGCCCTCTTTGCTGGGTTCATAATTAGAATTCCTTCCATTAGCGGAATGCTGTTTCACTTTGGAAAACATTTCCTTGTACATTTTCCTCCTTGACCTCGGTCTTCATCCATACCTGGACAGTGGGGGACTTGCCCTCCGTTTGACAGCAAGGAAACTGGGG